CTATAAAAGAATATCTATTACCAACGAAACTGAACAAGGCTGCTTCGCATTGCTACGTGTTCCAAACTACGTATGAGATTCCTCCAGATAGCCTCAGCCTAAGGTGCTAAAGTCAATGGATTTAAGGACGGACCTTAACAAACAAACGGGCGAGCGTCTGTTACAACTGTTGAGCGTAATTACCGCTGTTTCAATTAGTCGTACCCGCTTTTTAGACACCAGTGAGCACGGAAGTGTCACTTGGTATCCTCCTGTACCAGGCCAGCGACGTGGCCATATATAGATTACATTGCCATAATTTGGAGATATCTACATTCAACAATGTCAAAGAAGAACCAAAATGGCCTGCGAAAACAAAAAAGCAAAAAGAGCGAAAAATATTTGTGTAGCTGCTGTTGACAGTTGTTTCGCCTTGTTTGTTTCGATCCTCCTTGGTTTTTCGACGGCTCAATGTCTATTTATACATGCTGCCTAGCATAGAGTATATCATATATATATATATCATATATATATATATATATATATACCATGTTACAGGTGTCCATGGTTTTATACTGGATTGCAGCTTCAATCTGCAGTACGTGCGTCGACACTGACATTGCTTTCGTACTCTGTCATTCTTCCGTGAAATTTACCGGCCGGCTTACAAAGCGCCTCCTTCGATTTGCAACTGGGAACTTATCCCAGCCCTCGTCAGGCAAGCCCACAAGGGTGCCAAGCATACCGAACTTTCACTCGTTTGTCCTAATGACACCGAGTTTCAGTGTAATAGGATCTCGGCCGCTATGCATGAAACAGGAGACTATTTGGGGCGCTATCTAGTTGTCACCGCACCAGTCACTGGATATCCGAGAGGTCGGTGAACCGGCTGGAATCCTGAAGAAAACTCCCGGCGTCCTCTGAGCATAAAGTAATAGGCGGACTATTACGCGTCAACTGAAGCTGAGTTTGCGTGCTGATGAGGAACCCGGTGGACTAGTCAGGCTCAAGAAATGGAGGAGGCAGGAGCAGTAGGCAAATATCTTAAGCTCTTCGAACTGGACCGCACCACTGGTCTGAGAAAAAATCAGGGACAGCGCTGATGTCATTATTCACGATGAAGCGTGCTGTATGGCTCTTTGTTCCGCTCCGTTCAGTTAGTCTCTTGCTTTGGACCTCTTCCTACTCAGGTGATGCGGGTGTGTCATGCGCGGTTAATTTAGAGGCTTCAACAGAGGCTGAGGTCTGAAACATGATCATAGACCTTAATCGCTTTCAAGCTGTCCGCCCGGATTCTCTTGCACTACACTATGTAAGGATGGCAGTGAGGTCTTCTGAAAAGCACTGCCTAAACAGTTTAAAAAGGTCTGGAAGAAAGAGGTCATCGCATCTCCCTGGAGTGAGTCGTTTATTGTGGCAGTGTACAAAAATGACTGTGCCAACCATACAGGTATTAATCTTTCACCAGTTTTGGCTAAATTAGCAGCCTCATGTCTCTCCCGTAGCTTCCCTGAGGAACAGGGATTCCGGATTAAGGAACACGAGGCTGGTTCGTCCTCAGTTTCCTACCAGTTGATCATGTGATTCGTCATTGTAAATGTTCTACCACACTACACCTACTGTTCTCCTGCGATCTATCCGGGTTTATTGGGTAAGCATTGCAAACTACTTCATAGGCCGCTGAAACACAAATCTCGATGCAGTGGCCTTTCTAAAGCAAATTTAGTCCGACACATTGTATCTGTTCACATTAATTCATGCGCAAAAATTGTTTCAAAAATACTCACTGATACTAGCCATCCTTCACATAGCGTTTTATCCAACTGCAAATCTAATTCCTCAACGTGATGAAACTACAGAGCCAAATATATGCCCGCAAGTGAACTTAAGGCTCATCTGTCATACCGTATCTATCTAGATTGCTGCTTGATCCGAATATTATCATTCAAGAACTAAACAGCACATTATGTAAGTGATCCTCTACCACACATGAAACATTGTCTTAGCTGCCGTTTTTGCATGTATTATATTGCTTTCCTTTACCGTTTCGATCGCGCATGTGTTACAGCTGAAATATCACCCTCCCTGTGTGCATATAAAAGTGAATTTTTGACTTGACTTATATAGACCACACATTCGGTCTGCGGGTTGTTAAGGCAGCGCCGCACGTACCGCAAGCCGACAATATATGTGTGCCTCAACTTTAGAGTGCGTTCGACTCAGTCGATTGATCCATTCTGTACGAAATACTTGAGCGGAAAGGTGTTCCTATGAAACATGCGAACCTTGTGCACGTTCTGTACTCGAACACCACAAGTCACTTCAGGGTCTACGGTGACTTATAAACTGTCGTTCCAACAACTAATGGCGTTCGTCAGGGTTGCCCAATTTCCCCATCTATACAGTTGAATCCAGTTTCTAAACTTAGAAACAAGGGCTTTTACGAATACCATATATCACACGATATGGACTTTTAAACCCGGTTACTTTGTAAACCCCTTTGTCATAATTGGTGTTTATTACTAATTCAACGTATTTCAGATACATACAGTGTAATCTGGGGCGTATACCTAATTGAGATACAGTATTATTAGATCGTCGGAAGTCTGTTGGACTTCTCATAAAATTCCGTCCTGACGGAACGCAAAGTTGATAGAACAATTCCATTATCTAGTGAATTACCTTCTGATCCTCTTTGACATTTCAGTAACTCGCATCAGAAATATGCATGGCTGTGTCCTGCTATATCTTCACTATCTAACAAAACATTTTGTTAACGCTGCTGTTGAACGAATCCTGCATTTGTGCTTCCTATATTCCAGATGCTCCAAGACGTTGACCAGCCATATGATGAACAACTTATGCGCGTTCATACAGCCTTTGCTAGCGCAATGGAAGAAAACTATCGTCTTCAGAAACGTATTTCGGAGCTGACTACAGAGTTGCACAGACAAAAATCTGATGCCCAGGCGTTAGTTTCGCAGAACCGATCAGTTTATGAATCTGAGGTGAGATTTGGAATAGATGATACTTTTGGTGTTATTTACACAAAACGTTAGACCAGCCGATCATGAATTTTGTGCGCATTCCAACACACCATGTTAGAGTTATCTAAATGTTTTACAGATACTGTGTCAACCAGTTGTGTTAGTTCATCTTCTTAAATAGATGAGTCCAAGGTTAGCACCTTTTGTTAACTGGGTTTCACGTGATCCTTTACTGGCTGTCACAGAAACCCTTGCGTCAAGAGCAAACACGATTATCCAGCAGACAAAGCAGCGAAAATAACATCACTTTGCCAATATGCCCCGCCAGAAATCGTCGGCAATTATCTAACTAAATGGACCTTTTAGACCGGTTAGTTAATTTCTTTGACTCACGTAAACAGACAAGGGGGAAACGCGTAGTAACCGCCAAAAGTCCGTCGATCAACGGAATCACGCATACATGTCTATAAACTGGTAACTACGCCTGCCGCGTCCATTTAACGGATTCCATAGGTTTACTTTTCACTGCTTGTGCTGTTCGTTCCCCGGAAGCTGCAACATGTGACTCGGATGATAAGGATGACGCATGAACAACGTGTCAAATACGTAATGACGGAGCAGATTGAGGTAGCTGGATTCAACTTATATTTCAAAGATTACATGGAGTGGAGACGGAAGTAGCAGGAGCAGCGATTGGCGTAGCGCACGACTTACCGGGCGGAAGCAACTGATGGGAATTTACAAACTGTAGAACAAGTAGAATTTTGTCAGGTGCAGATGCGAGCAATATTCAATCCTGCAAAATCCTGGGAGAGTAAATGTTTCAGGTTCACTACAAAACATCAGTTCACTTCGATTGAGTATTCCCGTAACAGTGCGAATTGAACACCGAATGAGGCCTGCAAGTTCTCCATCCTATCGTGTATATGATAAGAAATGTTGTAATTTAGACTATCGCGTAAAATCAATGTTTTGGACCGTATACAATTGTTTCGGTACTGTTACAAAACTCCACTCACTGCCTGTTTACGGCTGCTTTTTAGTTATTCTGCGTCAGGTACAAAACTGAGTGCGCAAATTAATTTGCCTAAGCCGGTAATCATTCTAATGCTCGCGTTTTCTGTCTGACATTGGGTGCAAATTGCGAAAAACATATCATCGAAGGCACTGCTATTCGCATTCGTCTCATGTAATTTGCGTTTCGCCAACATTTCCCTCACGGTTATTGGCATACAATAAGGAGGGAAAATATGAGTAATAGAGGTCATCAGATTGAAAAATGAGCAGGAATTATATGGGTACACACATGTGTCCTTTATAGTCAAAAACCGTAACGGGGTATAACCTACATGGCTGGTGGAAAACGTAATTTGACTCTGGTGTCCGAAAGCTTTAATATTAAGGTTAAATGCTTACCACCGCTATATGCCAACCATAGACGTACGCGATGCAATAATAATAATTACTATACTAACAATAATAATACTAATAATACTAATAAGGTATATTTCTCGTGGCACCGCGAAACCGAGCCTACAAAGGGACCGAGCATATTTAGATTGCAACATGCTCAGGCATGCGAGGCTGTCAATAATATTTGCATTCTCAAAGATCAGGCAACAAGGCATTGATTACTGCCAATTATTTAGCTCAACGAAGACAAACTGGCCCTTAAAATAAACTCAATGGGCGTAACAACTGATGGGTCGAAAAGTGCGGAGGAAAGGACCGGTGTGAAAATATCCCAAGGATATGGTAATGACATGTTGCAGGTCGATGCTCATACTCAAAAATAATTCCCTTGAAGTTGCTAAAACACAAGGTTGCGAAGAGCAACGGTGGCTGAGCCATAATCGATTTCTTCCAAATCTGCTAGTCCAAACAAAGGATACCTACCGTGTGGATACCTAGTCTAACCATGCCAATTTTCAAGCGTGCGAGTCCTTCGGAGTCCGCAAACTATCGCATAGTGGCCCTTCTCCTTGTTCTCTCAAAGATGATGGTGGCAACCATCGCTGAGGTTGTAGTCTGCCATCTAGAACGCTACATCATAACACCAGAGCAGCACAGTTTCCGCCAGCATCGATCATGCACAACCAACGTATGAATTGCACGCGGTAGTTGGACGGAAGCGTCCGACAAAGATAGCGGTACCGACGTCATGTATCTTGACGTCTACAAAGCCTTCGACTGCATGGACCACCACATTCTGCTTCACAGGTGTTGTATCGCAACTGATGCCTTCACCCCACGAACACAAGAAGAAGTCCAAAGACTAGCTGGAGAGAGACTGGTAGACATGAAATCATATTTGCTTACATAGTTTTGAAGGCAAAATGAAGGGAAGCTACTAAATTACACTTGAGCCAACCAAAGGAAGGAAAGTGTCAAATGCAACGGGCGACTAGGCAACCGTGTAATCAAGAGCGAATCGCATATGTCCTTGAAAATGCATCATGGGACCCCAAGCGTAAAGCGAACCTCTATGTACAGTGACGGGCACTGGCCAATCAGAATAACGAAATGTAGCGTTTAAACAAATGTCACGAAACAAATGAGGATAAGAAGCGCAGACCCAAAAAGCAAAAACTAGTACAATAATTGTTTGACAACTAAATATTCCTTTAACAATAACCAAGTAGAAAGGTGATGCGGAGAAAACCAATGGAATGTGTACTTGCAGATGGCACTTCCGAAGATGACACGGAGATTAGCGTTCATTAACAATGACGTGTGAGTACCAATCGGGCTAACACACTGGGCGTTTAAACAACAGTCAAGAAGTGGAAAGTAGGAAGAATAAATAATGGCTATTAAGCTCGTTCACTAAAGTGAATGTCAAATAGCTATTCTCCTAACCATAGGCTTGAAAGTTAAAGTGTTGGGGATGCTGCCATTGGGTGGAGCGGGAAATTTATGCAGCTTCGGTAACTGCAGCTTAAAGTTCGAAGTGCACCGCCCAATCCGATTAATGTCGAACGTGGAGTTCCATTATGATCAGTTCTGGGGCCGCGTCTCTTTCGCTTGTTCATTAACGAGCTTATGTGTCTGATTGCCTAGGATTTCTTGCTTTTCGCTGAGGATGTTAAGTCGTGGCGGGCGATCGCCGACCAAGGAGATCACGATGCAATTCCATGAGAGTTGAATCACGGGCGTAAATGATGTCAACTCTGCCACAATCTTCTCGCATTTAATTCATACAAATTGTAAGTTTGGTGCACGTTCCTCACTAGCCAAACAACATAAACCAGCTAAGAGTCAGATAAAAACACAACAAAACAAAAAAAGAAAAAAAGAACAAAAAAAAAAAAAATTACAGAAATTACCCACCTCCCCCCCCCCCCCCCCCCCCCCCCCCCCCCCCCCCCCCCCCCCCCCCCCCCCCCCCCCCCCCCCCCCCCCCCCCCCCCCCCCCCCCCCCCCCCCCCCCCCCCCCCCCCCCCCCCCCCCCCCCCCCCCCCCCCCCCCCCCCCCCCCCCCCCCCCCCCCCCCCCCCCCCCCCCCCCCCCCCCACCCCCCCCCCCCCCCCCCCCCCCCCCCCCCCCCCCCCCCCCCCCCCCCCCCCCCCCCCCCCCCCACCCCCCCCCCCCCCCACCCCGCCCCCCCCCCCCCCCCCCCCCCCCCTCCACCCCCCCCCCTCCCCCCCCCCCCCCCCCCCCCCCCCCCCCCCCCCACCCCCCCCCCCCCCCCCCCCCCCCCCCCCCCCCCCCCCCCCCCCCCCCCCCCCCCCCCCCCCCCCCCCTCCCACCCCCTCCCCACTCCCACCCACCCCCCCACCTCCACCCCCCCTCCCTACCCCCCCCCTCCCTCCTCCCCCCACCCCTCCCACCCCCCCACCACCCACATGCCCTACGTACCACCCCCTCTCCGTGCGCCCAAAACTTACAACGCACCTTCATCTTACCATTTGATAACTCCCCCCTACCGAGACAGTCGTCCCCCTCCTAGTCCCCCACCCCAATCCACATGCTAGCGGACGTTCACCATACTTTATGAAACTCACCCACATACTACGACTGTCCGAATGTGCAACCACCCACCGTGCTGGCGTCCATAAGTAGGTACTACCCTCCCTCACGACCCAGACACACCTAGGCCCACCGCACCGCATTCCGCTGCCCGCACGACCACCGCGTTGCCCTGAATTCATGACATCCAAGATATATTAGCACATATCCATAACACCTAAGGCTGCGGACTCTAAGCTTGAACCGCGCCCGTGTAGCGGCACCACCAACGCTCCCAACGAATCCCCCCCCATATAACATCAGACCCCCACCCACGACTTACGCCACCATAACAGTAACAAGAAACCAGCCACCACCAGCACCAGCGTGGACCCCCACCATATTGAGTATTTGCCACGCAAGACGTCGCTAGAATGTCGCCCGCCGAAACGTTTACTCTGTTCGTGTGCGCCAGCGATGAAACACCGTCTAAAGTACGGTGCTTCCGTCCCCACTTTATCTGTGTTTGAAAAACGCCCTGATGTTGCCCTAACCCACCTGTATCACGAGATGTTGCCTGTGTACACTGAAAGATGTTATAATATGACGAACGTTGCATAATCGTCATTACTCTAGGTTACTGAGGTTAGCTCTTATGTATACCCCTGTGTAAAAATTTTGGTGGCTTCACGAAACGATTTTTAGTTTATCACATTGTTTTTCTTTCACTATTTTAGTACTCATTCTGGTCATCGCACGGAAATTGTTAACCATTTGCTTTTATCCTTCATATATCATTTTCCATTGCTCTGCATTGCACAGGCTGAAGTTGTTGCATGTGATGAGATATACAAGCTGCATATTCTCATCACTCTAAAATTGTTGGGGTATTTGATGAGCGAGTTCACCGGGTAAACTCTGCGTGCAGTAAAATACTGGCGACGAAGCAGTGTCATGCAAGCAGCTTTAATCTTGTTCTTTATGCCCAAGAGAAGTGCTTTGTGTCAGAATGAACCAAACTGGGTTCAAAATGAAGCATTGAGTTGTCGGTGGAATATTTCTACCATCCCGTTC